CAAACAAATTCCCATTATAACCCTGAAATCCATTAAATTTGTTATTGTGTTTTGGGAGGGGTTCTATTGTTTTGTTTTTTTTCAGCAGGCAAGATTATAAGGGTATAACTACTTTTACAGAATTAACTTAATTACTGAATTTCACAGAAAATATTTGTTTAGTTTTTATAAATAAAAAAACTGTATTTCTTAAGTCAATTATTAAAGTATGACATATGTTACATAGGCTGATTTATTCATTTTATGTATTTGGGATTTTAAGAGCAAGTGGAAAATGTGCTGAATGTTTCGTTTCATCCAAGTGAAATTAGCAAGCAGTTAGACTGAATTTACATTCGTTTTAAACGTGGAGCCAGGCGCGAGTCGACACAGGTTGCGCGCGTGCGTCAAGCCTCGTCCATACTGCCAGATGCGCTCGTGGAGACTTGCGGTGCGAAGCCGGGTGCGAGTATAAACGAGCATTACGAGAGTGCGGCAAGCGTGAACGGCTCGTCCGTGACGCGGGATTCGCGGGGGGGAACGGAGGTGCGCTCACTCTTGCCCAGGGCAAGTAAGATTGCAACTCAAGGCTAGCAGTCATGCATATGCTCTGGAAAAGAGTATTTCGATTCGATTAATCGCACAGCCCTAACACTCAGCACAATAGCAGCTAATTATCATCATCGATAAACTCACAGAAAATATAGAGATATTGTTTTTTTGTCAAAATGGCACACCCCTACTTCAAAGACACTGCAGACACTGACATTTCTAATAAAAATTGTGACTGTGAATTACAAATGCATTAAAAAACCTCCAGCGTTGCTGTGCTTGTAAGGCTGTATAATTTGGCAAAAAAATGTGTGGGTATTGATCAATATCTATATTTAGCTATAAAATATAATTATTATTTATATCATATTGTTAATATAATGTTATTATAGTACTTATTATTCTATTATTATAATAATATATTATTGTTTTTATTACCATTATGATTACTAAGTTAAATATTAAACAAAACAAAACAACTGATATTGTAATATTTCACTGTAAAATATAAAAACCGAGTATTACAGAAATATATAATACAGTATAATAAATTTTAGTAGTAACCGTACTGTAAAATAAAATGACTATTATTACTAAATTAAAATACTAAAAATAAGAAATATTACTATTGTAATGTCATTGTAAAATACAAATTACTTAAGAAAACATAATAAGAAATACTGATAATAATTGTACTGTAAAAAGTCAAACTCAAAGCGTCGAGTTAACCAGTGCTGCAGTGTGAGTGTGTGAGTGTGTATGTGTGTGTGAGTGAGTGACTGAGTGAGTGAGTGAGTGAGTGAGTGTGTGAGTGTGTGTGTGTGAGTGTGAGTGTGAGTGTGTGTGTGTGTGTGTATGTGTTTGCACTCACAGGTGGTGTTTCCCTGCATGTGTATGACACATTTAGCATCTCGGCTGGTTTCGCGGGAGTTAAAGGGCCGAACTCTCACCGCTACCTTCACTGAGGCGGCCATCCTGAAACACAAAATAACAGCCAATCAGGATCAGACACACTACAGGAAGTCCCTCCGGACCAATCAGAGCCCAACGTTCCTTTGTGAATCACATCAAACTCCCAGAAACCCTGAAACGATGGCTGTTGAGAATGGGACACTAGCGAGAAGTCTCTTCTGCTCGGCAGGGCTGCATTTATTTGATCAAAACTCCACTAAAAACAGCTAAATATTATTTCAGTTTCAAACAGCTGTGTTCTATGTGAATATCTGTTAAACTGTAATTTATTTCTGTGATGCGCAGCTGTATTTTCAGCATCATTACTCCAGTCTTCAGTGTCACATGATCTTCAGAAATCATTCCAATATGCTGATTTGCTGCTCAAGAAACATTTCTGATTATTAGCAATGTTGAACACAGTTGTGCTGCACAATATTTTTGTGGAAACTGTGATATATTTTATTTTTCAGGATTCACAGATGAATATAATGTTTAAAAGAACAGCGTTTATTTAAAATAGAAATCTTCTGTAACATTATAAATGTCTTTACTGGCACTTTTGATCAATTTAATGCATCCTTGCTGAATACAATTATTAATTCCTTTTTAAAAAAATCTACTGACCCAAACTTTTGAATGGTAGTGTATCACAGTTTCTAAAAAAATATATAACATTTTTATTATTGATAATAATGACAAATATTTCTTGAGCAGCAAATTACTTTTGCTTTAATTTAGTTAAATAATGAGTCAAGAAAGAGTTGTAAAAATCATCACACTGGACATAAAAGGACAAGCTGAGCACGTTGCATTGTGGGATAGAGTGTCTAACACAGTGTGGCAGATTTTGACAAATGTCTGTTTCACATTTATACAAATACACAGAAACACACGAGACTCAAACTCTCTCTCATTCCTCCGCTGTGTCGTTTCAGTCCCTCTTCTTCTGTGTGTGTTTGCTTTAACACATTCCAGCTGCCTGTGTGTGTGTGTGTGTCTGTCCATGTCAGTCACACACTCAGTGTTTAAACGTTAGTCAAACCTGAGATCTCGTTCAGATCTCACATGAGCTGCGTGAAGATCAGTGACTGAGAGATCAGAGCCTCACACACAGCGTCACATGACTTCAGAAGACCGAGATATATATATAGAGATATATGGGCCATTCTACAGAACTGGTTCAAAGTCAGAATTGGAAATGTCTTGAAAAAAATGTATTTTTCCAAAACATTTGTATGTATGCAGATTGTATAATATCCAAGGTACACATTTCTAGTAATTGTTCAGTTAATTCTTATATTGTATTTTCAGACAGTTTTGGAATATTTGTCCTTTCCCCAAATTTGTCACTACCGAAACACAGTAATAATCATTTAATTAGAAGGGTTATATTGACCTATTAAGATTTTGATAACATCTAGATTGTAATTTTTTTTTTTATTAACATTTTTAACAATATTTCAAGTGCAACTTATGAGATTTGTTGTATTTTGAATCCAATTTTTCTTTGTAAAAGGCAAAAAGTTGATCATGCTGATTTCAAAGTTAAGAATTCATTAGTTTGTGTATACATTGAACCAAAAACTATCATAACATCTTAGTTGATAACCCAGTATACTTTATTTTTGACAAAACATCTCATGTTTTGGTAGTGACAGTAACGCATTTGTAGCAATCACATCACATTACAGAATTTTAACTCGCGTACTAAAACACTACTAAAACATACTAGAATACAAAAAAATGCATAACTGTACTAAAAAACATTTATTTCCCCCAAATATGAGGATCATGTGTTCGTTTTGTCACTACCAAACCAATGATGACATGCTTCGGTCGTGACAATTCTATGGGATAACACCCAAAAATAAATAAAGATGTCACTACCGAAACTCCACCAAATGTTTCAGTAGTGACATTTAGATACTTTTGAACCTAGCTCAAAGATGCTAATCAGCACATGGTAAGCTAGCACAGTGGTATACATATAAAAACTAAATGTTATGGAATAACTCCCAAAAAAGTGTGTTTGGTAGTGACATTCCTTAAAGTTACACACAGATTTTTCAGATTTCTGAACACATTTACCTCAAAATGATGAGACCCATCTACTCTCACCCTGTAGCTATGAGAGGGAGGGACACAGGAATATTTCCTGATCATAAATTTATGTTTAGTTAAATCAGTCTCAGCCAATAGACTAAAACATACACTGTTTCGGTAGTGACATGAAAATGCGGGACACTTTTTTTTTTTTTTTACATAAACAGGGCTCTAAACAGGGCATTTGCGACTGAAAACTACTGCGTGCGACTATGAAAACATGTTTAGGAGCCAAAGTCACAGCTGAGCCGCTGCGCATCTCCATTCAAACACAGCAGTGTCTCGCAACCCTCTACATTGCGACTAAATCTTACTCTGGGCCACTAAATGATGTCTAATATTAGCCAATGGCTAATAAATTCTCAGATTTTACTCGCCAGTGTGTGAGTTGGAGGCTAAGTATAAGTTTAGCCTAGATATATTTACACTCGCCGAACACTCTGACTGAGCGTTTCAGAGTTTCGCTCTCCGTCAAGCGATCTGCGTGCTCCTAAAAAGAAAAGTAAGCGTAGAGCCCTGCATAAAGCTTCATAATTTACATAGAAAATATAAAATACACGTTTTTTGGGGGGGGGTTTTAACTTCACTTTTTTTAAAATCCAAAAGATGCTTTAAAAATTTATTTTTTTCAATTCCAAAAATTATTTAAATATAATTTTCATAAGTTGAAATTTAGGGGGTTAGGGTTCGGGACAGCCACCTCCCAGTTGAAAGTACCCAATAAATGATGATTTTATATATATTAAGCTTACTAATATTTTAAATATTATTGTGGGTTTCAACAGATAATAGAAGAATCTTAATAACATCTAAGATTTGAATACTATATGCTTTTTAAATGTGTTTTTTGGTTGTGGGACAGCAGTTCAAACCAATTCTGTAGAATGGCCCATATATATATATATGACTGATATATACAGTAAAACATGCATCATCTCTTCATATACATGAATACAGAGACTCACAAACTTGATGAGCTGATGAAAAAGCTAATCATTAAATCACTGAAATGTAAAATTAAAACAAAACACTTACTAAATATTAGTAAATATTTTATTTGTTTAGCTGCATGTCATGTGACTATAACAGTCATTAGAGAACTGTGAACATGTGAATGTGTTGATAAAGTACTCAAATATTAAATCTCAGGTGGACTTAAAGAAACTATTTGAGCTCAAAAGGGCTTCGGCTGATAAAAATAAATTATGAATCACTGCATTACTATAATAAATGTGTTAAAAATAGGCAAACCAACAAATCAGTGTTATTTTAGTATTACTAATACACTATTTTAATTGTATTGTTTTTTTAGTTTTATTTCAGTTTCCATTTTAATTTTAACGTTTTAATATTTTTAGTTTTAGTTAGTTTTAGTTCATTTTACATTTGCATCTCCAATGTATCTTGATTTAAGGATGTTTAAATATTTTTACTGGAAAACAAGACAAATGCTGAGGAAGAGATTCATGTTTCACAGTTCATGCAACATTTAACTCCACGACTTCATGAGTTGAAGACGTTCTGCTTTGACTTGAGCCTTTTATAAGACCCACAGAAACCCTGAATGTGTGAAGATCAAACACAGTTGATCAGGAATGATGGTATCACATGAGAAGATCGTCAGAAGTTAGAGATTATACTGTCAGATCAATAGGCTGAATGAATGAAAGACTCTGACCTGATGAATCCCTCACATCAACTCAGACACTACAGCGATTCACTGAGAAATACAGTCAAAGCATCAGCTCACACACTCACTCACACACAGACACACTCACTCACTCACACACACACACACACACACACACACACACACACACACA